TGCGTGTCTGTGTGTCTGTGTGTCTGTGTGTCTGTGTGTCTGTGTGTCTGTGTGTCTGTGTGTCTGTGTGTCTGTGTGTCTGTGTGTCTGTGTGTCTGTGTGTCTGTGTGTCTGTGTGTCTGTGTGTCTGTGTGTCTGTGGGTCTGTGTGTGTGTGTGTGTGTGTGTGTGTGTGTGTGTGTGTGTGTGTGTCTGTGTGTCTGTGTGTGTCTGTGCGTGTCTGTGTGTGTCTGTGTGTGTCTGTGTGTGTCTGTGTGTGTCTGTGTGTGTCTGTGTGTGTCTGTGTGTGTGTCTCTGTGTGTCTCTGTGTGTCTCTGTGTGTCTCTGTGTGTCTCTGTGTGTCTCTGTGTGTCTCTGTGTGTCTCTGTGTGTCTCTGTGTGTCTCTGTGTGTCTCTGTGTGTCTCTGTGTGTCTCTGTGTGTCTCTGTGTGTCTCTATGTGTCTCTGTGTGTCTCTGTGTGTCTCTGTGTGTCTCTGTGTGTCTCTGTGTGTCTCTGTGTGTCTCTGTGTGTCTCTGTGTGTCTCTGTGCACTCCAGACTGCAGACTCCAGACTGCAGACTCCAAACTGCAGACTCCAGACTGCAGACTCCAAACTGCAGACTCCAGACTGCAAACTCCAGACTCCAGACTGCAGACTCCAGACTGCAGAATCCAGGTTGCAGACTCCCGACTGCAGACTCCAGACTGCAGACTCCAGACTGCAAACTCCGGACTGCGAACTCCAGACTCCAGACTGCACTCCAGACTGCAGACTTCAGACTGCAAACTCCAGACTCCACACCGCAGACTCCAGACCGCAGACTCCAGACTGCAGACTCCAGACTGCAGACTGCAAGCTCCCTCCAGACTGCAGACTCCAGATTCCAGACTGCCAACTCCAGACTCCAGACTGGAGACTGCAGACTGCGAACTCCAGAATCCAGACTGCAGAGCCCAGACTGCAGACTGCGGACTTCAGACTGCAGACTCCAGACTGCAGACTCACACTCCAGACTGCAAACTCCAGACTCCAGACTGCAGACTCCAGACTGCAGACTCCAGACTCCAGACTGCAGACTCCAGACTCCAGACTGCAGACTCCAGACTCCAAACTGCAGACTCCAGACTGCAGACTCCAGACTGCAGACTCCAGACTGCAGACTGCAGACTCCAGACTGCAGACTCCAGACTGCAAACTCCAGACTCCAGACTGCAGACTCCAGACTGCAGACTGCCAACTGCAGACTCCAGACTGCAGACTCCAGGCTCCAGAATGCAAACTCCACAGACAGACTGCAGACTCCAGACTGCAGACTCCAGACTGCAGACTCCAGACTCCTGACTCCAGAATCCAGACTCCTGACTCCAGAATTCACAGTCCAGGCCCCAGAATCCAGCATCCAGACAGCCCCGCCCCAAGCCCGGAAAGGCCGGTGCAGTTTTTTCGAACTTAACAAAACTTAACTTAACTTAACCTGGGCGGGCCGTGTGGAGCCGTGGAGTCCCTATTGTAACTCAATCAACTTAACTGCCAAACTTTCCCCGTGAGGCCCAGTTGCGTCACCACGACTTAAAATAACTTAACTTGGCCCCGTGGCCGAATTCCACCACAAAATGATCAGGATCCTGGAGTCAGGAGTCATTGTGGAGTCTGGAGTCTGGAATCTGGAATCTCGAGTCTGCAGTCTGGAATCTGGAGTTGGCAGTCTGGAGTCTGCAGTCCTGGAGTCTGCAGTCTAAAGTCTGGAGTCTGCAGTCTTGAGTCTGGAGTCTGCAGTCTGGAGTCTGCAGTCTGGAGTCTGGAGTTTGCAGTCTGGAGTGTGAGTCTGCAGTCTGGAGTCTGCAGTCTGAAGTCCGCAGTCTGCAGTCTGGGCTCTGCAGTCTGGATTCTGGAGTTCGCAGTCTGCAGTCTGGAGTCTGCAGTCTCCAGTCTGGAGTCTGGAGTTGGCAGTCTGGAATCTGGAGTCTGCAGTCTGGAGGGAGCTTGCAGTCTGGAGTCTGCAGTCTGGACTCTGCAGTCTTTTTTCTGGAGAGTTGGCAGTCTGCAGTCTGGAGTCTGCAGTCTGGAGTCTGAAGTTTGCAGTCTGGAGCCTGCGGTCCGGGGTCTGCAGTCTGCAGCGTGCAGTCTGGAATCTGGAGTCTGCAGTCTGGATTCTGGAGTTGGCAGTCTGGAGTCTGCAGTCTGGAGTCTGCAGTCTGGAGCTTGCAGTCTGGAGTCTGCAGTCTGGAGTCTGCAGTCTGGACTCTGCAGTCTGGATTTTGGAGTTGGCAGTCTGCAGTCTGGAGTTTGCAGTCTGGAGTCTGCAGTCTGGAGTCTGGAGTCTGCAGTCTGGAGTCTGGAGTGTGGAGTCTGGACCCGCCGCTGTGGATCTTCGCGGGCCAGCCGAGTGCAATCTGAGCGGGCCCGCCGCTATATGACCGGGCCCGCCGCGATGTGCGCGGGCTAGCCGCGAGTGCAGAGCGTCTGCGCGGGCCAGCCGCGAGTGCAGTCTGAGCGGACCAGCCGCTGGGTGTCTGCGCGGGCCAGCCGCGAGTGCAGTCTGAGCGCACCAGTCTGCGCGGGCCAGCCGCGAGTGCAGTCTGAGCCGACCAGCCGCTGCGATATGCCGACCTGTCGTATTCGAAAAAATATACGCACGCATCGCCCGGTGTAAGGTTTTGGACTCGCGTTCAGCGATGTGCTTTGCGACACGTCAGGAGTAAAGCGCGCGTGCTTTTTTCGCATGAGGACGCGCGTCAAGACTCAGCGAGGCAAACTCGTTTTGGGCATTGCTCCGCAAACGCTGGATGCCAAAAAGCTATTTTCCTAAAATGGCGCAAAAAGACTAAGTTCCAGCTAAGTTCATTCTAAGTCCCGGCACCCGCAACTTAGCTCGAACTTATAAGTGGGCCTATCTAAGTTAACCCTAGACAAGTAACTTATAACTAGGACTCGGACTTAGCAAACTTATAAGTCCACTTGTCCCACGTTATAAGTCCACTTGTAGTAACTTATAACTCAAGTTATAAGTACGACCCTATCCCAGTACGGGGGCGTGTGTGTGCCGAGTTCCGGATTTTCCCTGGAACCAACCGTTAGATCTTGCTGCAGGGGGACACAGCACTTCACTGGGACTGTGTCCAACGAAGCTATTGGTCCCCTCCCTGAATCGCCGTTGCTTCCTTGATTCCCTGTTCAAGTAACTAGAGTGAAGCCCGAGTGTGATGCGAGCCGAAAGTTGTACTCGAAAGTTGTACTCGAAGTTCAGCAACCTCCTTCGGGAGTTTAAGTGTGTGTGTGTGTGTGTGTGTGTGTGTGTGTGTGTGTGTGTGTGTCTGTGGGGGCGCAGCGATGGCCAATGCATATCAACGCACATGGATGTGTCAAAATTGAGGTACCCGGACCCCCCAAAATGAGGAGTTCCACCGTAGTTCCCTCCACAGTCAACCAGAACACAAACAGAATCTTGGTCATCATTCAAGCAAACTGAAGCCTTGCCGAGCTACAGAATCCAGGCTCGCCATTCCACGTTGCACGCTGGCAGTCAGAACGACTGCAAATCGATTTTGGTGCAGCCGGGACTCCACATGGCATGTCCCGACAAGTCTTGCTGCCTTGGCACAAGTGCGCACGGGCACAGCCCCTCATTGAAATTTAGAACCGCTGAGCAGCAGTATTGCCCAGGTTGATGATTCCATGATTCCCGCTCGCACCCGGGACGGATGCATGCCGGCGGCCGTTCTGCTACCTGGAGCAGGCATGCAAAGAATCGAGCAGCGTCGATATAGTCAAGGGATCCAATCTAATTGCGGGATCAAGCGTCATACTCTCATTCCTTCACGCTTTCCTGGCCTTTTAATCAAACAAAACCAAGCCAAGTCTCACTTGTGCAAGTTCCCATACCGGCGTATGGGTTACAACTGAGATGAATAATCGTCGGCGGCCTGTAGAAACGCTGCAGGACAAACATCTGCGGAATGACCTTGCGATGAGTACAAGGAACTCTGCTCCTTGGCCTGCCATCAAGCTCTTTTCAGCAACCAAAGTGAGGCTCGGTCGCAAGTGTGACACCCTTGCGGTGGTGGCTGCAGCAACACAAAGGGTCACCTAGGGAGCCACTGAGAGCTGCACTCAGGCCATCGCACCCAAGAAAGCTGGGAGGGGCAGACATTGTGAGGGCTGATGGGAATGGAGCCAGGACTGCAACAAGCCCCATTTGCAGGTTGGCAAGTGGCCATTCGATGACACAGAATTGCAGATTTTCAAAGGGGAACACTGGTAAAGGACAAGTTCTTCCATGGCGGATGCAAAAGGAGGACCTCTTCATCAATGCCTATGTAGCTCCGGCGTTTATTGTCATGGTCGGTGAACAGGATGGAGTTCTCAACAAACACGCAAAACTGCCGATCCTGCGTGCCTCACATTTTGCACCAAGGAATCATCCTGCATGCTCTAAGCCGCAGTGACAATGCCTTGTCATTTGGGATTGGGGCATGTCGAAACATAGCGCTCCTCCTGGTAGAGTGGGTGGGTTCTCAGAAGGAAGTCAAAGGAAAGGAAAGTGCGCACCCTTGCCGTCTTTTGTTTTTGAGGACCAAGAGCAAACATCACGCTGAGACCCAGGACATCCGCAGCACCTTTTGGGCACAGAGACGGCCAACCTCGGACCTGCCGAAGTCTTGCCGAGGACGGCGTCAAAAAGAGTTCTCATTTCATCACGCAAGCCATTGCATCAGCATTCACCTGGGTACTTTGTATGAGTTCGCCGTGCATGCGACTTGGTGTGTAACCTGGGTCATCCTATCAGGCGGATGATGCTGTTGATCTTGGCTCGCGCTACATAGCTCTCTCGATTTGGCAACTGAGCACCGCCAACACAGGACTGGTGCCAAATCGGAAATAGACAACTTGCGGTCTGGCTCGCAAGCTTGCCCTGCCAGCTCTATGACAGCAACACCAAAAACAACTGTCTCTTTTGTGGTGCCCCGTGTTTTGCTTGTCAAAATCAGAAGTAAACATTATCAATGGGCCCCTGTTTCGAGACGCGCCCAAATCAAAATATGATGAGAAACAGTGGCAGGCATTGTGCTGGCAAAGGCACCATAAGCTCGTCTTTCCCCGAGCTTTTGTTGGCGACTCTGCTGTGGCAGCCCTCAGGAATGGCAGCAGTCCTCAGACAACACGCATGGACCAAACCCACAACTCAAGTCGTTTTCCGATACAACCCGGCATCACCTGCCAGTAGATCAGCTGCGTAAAGCACATAGTGCCATGGCTTCACAACTTGTTTGACCAGCTTTGCCCAGGTTTAGCAGGTACTAGAACAAATCAAAAAATACAACCCTGGCAGCACACAGTTCTGCTGGCACGCACATTAAGCCGTTGCACTCAGCTCCAAACGTCCTCTGGCGCACAACTTCAACCATGCCAGCCTTGGCGGAGGCGCTTTACAGAGTCTGTGGATGCGCAGTCGATGATTCAATTGCTGGCTGAGTCTGATGGTCTGATGCTGGGCGAGATGCCCTGTCTATTGCGTCTTGCAAGAACAGTGTTTCTTCAGGTTCAAAGGGCTGCAATGAATGTGCTGCAAGAGCATTGGACAAGGCTGCGGCTGCCACCTGGGTGACGATAATCACGTTCTCAGAACCTCCGTACCCTCGCGCAGTACTGCTCCATGAGGTCAAATAGATCCCGGCGCCATAGTAGCCCCTGCACGCATCACAGCACGGTCAAATGCAGATCTATGCATGTCGTGTTTCAGGCTGAAAAGAACCTATGATCAGCGCCTGTTGCCTGAGGTGCTGCCAATGAAGTCCACGCTAAAGCCAGTATGCAGTATGCTGCAGGCCGGGCAGTCTGCAAGGCGGCTATCTTGCAAGCAACGATGACTGCAGCCCCGTTGACTTTATCATCAAACAAACGCAGGGAATTGAGTGAGGTGCAGGCGGAGAAGCAACATCTTCAGAATCAAGCGCGCATCGTGTTACATCTACAAAGAAAATACTCATGGGTTGCCTCCAGAGTCACAGGGATGGCCGTTGAAGTTGCACGTCTGTCCTTGGAGCAAAATCACATTCACAGCGTGTGCGGCGAGCTTCTAAGGCTGCCACTTGCACATGAGTCGAGAGCAATTTAACTTGCTTCCCACATTTGTTAGTGCAGGCGAGCAAAAGCACTTGTAACCTCACTAGAGCCCTCCTTGCAAAGAACCAGAAGCGTACCACTAACCTCTTCTGCTGTTCACATTCATGCTGACCAATGCGGACCGGCATCTCGTGCCGTGAAACCTGCGCTGCTGGTTTCCCGGACTCTCGCCATGGCCGAAAACTGGCACATCCCCGATCTCCTCGCAGCACCTCCGCAGATCCAAGGAGCAAGGATCAAAAGTATCAACTGGTGTGTTCTAGTATGCAAAAACTGGCATGCCTTCCAACAACCAAAGTTGTTTCGCCATGTTGTTCGGCGCAACTCGCGCATTCAATGGTTTGAGGAGAGGAGAGGTGGATTTGCTTGGGTTCCCCAAAGTCCTGAAACGCATAACCAGGTATCCAGCCACATCCCCTGGGCCTATGCTGAGCGACGAGAAGAACAAGCTCATTCCGACTCCTATCCCCCTAGGCCACGACAGCCATCCAGGCCCCCCTTGTTTTGTTCAGTGGAGAATACCAGGCCCATTGAAAAAAGTATATGCACCCAGCCCTGGCAGCCAATACAAATCAATACTCAGCGCATACTAAGCCAGCAACACTGAGGTGCTACAGCCAAAATCCACCAACAAAAGAATCCTCCAGCAAGCGGTGTGGTACAGGGAAGCTCCTGATAAAATATATATAAAGAAAAACACTTTCAGGCAGGAAGTAAGCTCCATGCACCAATACTGAGCCAATACTACACCAATGCCACACCAAACTAAACCAGTACCAAACCAGTGCTAAATCAATACGCAGCCAATACAAAGCCAACGCCGGTGAGGCTGACTGAGGCGCCCAACCAATCTCCAAACTACATCAGTACTAAGCCAATGCTAAACTACTAAACTAGTATGAAGCAGCAATTGCAAAGCAAAACTAGGCCACTCTTAAACCAAGACTGCACCACCTACACTAACGCCAAGTCAGGACAAAGCAAGAACTCACCAATACTAAACAGAGAGGACAAAGGAAGACTCACCCAAGAGCATGTGCCGCAAGGTAAGAACTCAACAGGGGGGTTGTCTCTTGTTCCTATTGAAAGCTCCAATATTCTCACGGCACCATTGAGCAACAAGAAGAGTTCCCGCCACACAGCCCATGCAAAATAATGCTTGTCTACCGATCGCACAAGTGTGGACGTGGGTCTCTTTGTCAAGTCTGATACAGCATAGAGAATCCGAACGAGACACGGATTTCGTCTGTTCTTCCCAATGGTCTTGAAAGGGCTCATTTTTCTTGCACGGTCCCCCGTGCCTCCTGAAGCGCTCCTCCACAGACGCAATCACCTCAGGCGGCTTTATATACTGCCTCATATGCTTTTTCTAGCGGCATCAAGGACCACAGTGAGTCCTGCTTTTGAAGGGGACCAAGTCCGGACCCGCTTTGTTAGGCAATCTCCCAACACCCATGCTGTGGCCATTTCCACCCAACGCGTTACTCATCCAAGTTGCAACAGCAAGTGATGGACCCCTTCCCGATTTCACAGAGAGGCTTGGAAGGATCCCGTGGACACTTGGCTTATGCCACCTAAACAGGTCTTGTTCTGAGTGTCCAGTACTACGTGGACATTAATCCCCGCCGCAATGATGTCCACCAAGGGTCCCCTATTGATATTGCTGCGAAGGCCGGCTCAAACCAACTGTGAGCTCTGGGCTTCTGCGCAAATCCGGCCAAGACCACCAATCCCCAATCCTCTTTAGCTCTGCAGGGCCGCGCAATGCTTTGCCGACAAAAGAATGGTCTTCATTGCAGCACTAGCTCTACTCGCTGCTCCGTTTTGGGGTCAGCAAAGGTTTGAAGGGATCTTGGTCGGAGATCCGTCCAGCGGCCGCTCAGGCTCCAAACGATCCAAAATACCGTTGACATAGTGGAGTTCCCTTCGTTGTGGGGGGGGGGGCCCTTGCAGGGTCAATTCTACACCTTCTACTTGCCAATCGCTGCAAAAACGTCCCCCAAAAACGGAGCCCCCAACCAGCTTCGCTAGCAAATCAATGCAGTTAGGCTCAGCCGCTGGGAAATAAAGGCTAACAAAAAAATTAGCAATGCCTTGCCAGTTTCAGTTTTCAGAGACCAAGCAGCGTGGATTTTGTAGATCTGGCCAATGTTTGGCAGTGGCCCTGTGTTTTTGTCCCACTTGTCGCTGAATTGCCTCAATATGCCGCGAACAGAAGAAGCACGGCGTTCTGCCTTCTTCAATCCACAAACGAATCCTGTTAAATTTCAGGAAATGGTGCAGCAACAGCGAAACAGTCAACAAAAAGCCGCCAAGCTTCCAGCTCTCCGGCACAATGAATAATAAACTCAATGTGCCCAAACCACTAAGCTAGTCAACATTCTGAAAGCTGAAGACTGAACCAGTCCGCAGCCAAGCTCCGCGCCGCTGAACTGACAGCTTCCTCAGCAAGTCTGGCAATCTACCACGCATGGAGTCTTCGTTGTCTACAACAAACCAGCGCACGTTAAAACACACAGGAACGGGCCAAACAAAACCTGTGAAAGTATCTGTATCCCCGCCCAGGTATTTCAGTTGCATGCGCAACCATAAGGGACGAGCACTTCCCATGCACGCAGAGACGTGTGCTTATAGATTCTGCGCGGAAAAGCCAGGCTGGTCAAGCGAATCAAAGCCAAACGACAAGTGGCCCGTCAGAATAAACAGCACAAAATAAGCAGCTTCTTTGTGAAGGAATGTTGCGTCTCTCTCTCTACATTTGACTCCTTTTAAAAATTCCCGGAGAAACTCTCTCAGCAACCGGCATTCCGCGCATGTTGCGCAAGCGCAACACTTGCACACATGCGAGTTGAGTTTCTCGACAGACTTGTCCGGTCTGTGCGATGCCACACGCCTGTGTGCAAACGCATTCTCGCGTGCTTCTATGGAAAATCCGCCAACCCCTTTGCAAAAGCCAAGTTAGTCTCTGCAGAGGGGCGAGACGTGTTCTAAGTGGTGGTCAGGGGTCCCGCGGCGGATTTTTGACACGCCTAACCTCCAACCCTCACCTCTAACCCTAACCTCTAACCCTACCAGTATGCAGGAAATAACTTACGGGACTTATAAGTTACTTATATAACTTATAAGTTACTTATGATGCAGTTAACTTATGCAAGTTAAAACGAACTTATAAGTTCACCCTAAGTTACTCGGGCGGCAGCCGCGGCAGTACTTTTTTTCCACAACGCATTCTCGGCACGGGTGCTGAGTTCGCGCTATATACACATGAAGCCACCAAACAGCGGCAAGGTTATAACTAGTGCAGGCAGATCAAATCCTGGTCGCACGTGGTCCACATAGCCGGAATTGTAGAGAGGGCGTCCACGCTGGGCCGCGTTAAGATCTCGCGCCCAGTGTGCCGCCAGACGGAGCCGCACGGGTGGTCAGAGTGGCGCCTCAGTTCGGCGAGTCGAAGCCTCAGCCCGCAGACTTGCCCGCTGAGACACTGCCGGACCACGCCGCCTTGCGAGGGCCAGAGGAGCACGTCAGCAGTTGTGATGTGTTGGCGGATCAGTTTCATCTCCGTGAACACGCGCAAGGAATCGTCCCCCAGGCGGCGCCTCAGCTCCGGCGGCGCCGCCTGAGAAGGACCAACGCATGCCCAGTCTTCGAGTCCATGCGTCGCCGAGCTGACGACCCCGGCGTGCAAGATGCGGCCCAGAAGCGCCCTTTGCAGCAACAGAGAGTTGCTCAAGCGAGCCTTCTGATGGTCAAGCATGCCGCCCTTGACCACGCGATGCTTGGACTCATGCGCCTCAGTCGAGGGCAGCCAGCCGAGCTTAAGAGCCGACTCCGGCAAATGCAGCCTGTGGTGGTGCTTCGGCTTAACGGCCAAAGGCCCGTACGCTTGGACGTACGCGGCCTGATGCCGGGCTTGCGCCAGCTCCAAGTCGCGCACCGCTGCCCGATCCTGAATTGGGGTCGGGCGGTGCTTGAGGACGCGAAGCGCAGCGCATGCGTCCCTCAGGCGTGCAAAGGACTCGGTCGCCTTGGCGTGCTTGCCCGAGCGGACCAGGCTCTGCGCCACATAGTAGTGGCAGACGTGCACCACCCTTGCGGTCTCGTGGCCTTGGCCTTTATAAAGCTCCGCGTCGAACATCTTCCGGTCCAGCAGACGCCGCAGCTCGGCGCTGGCGCTTGAGTGGCCGCGGCCAGGGCGGCGCCAGTCGGCCGCGCAGGCCATGTCACGGAAAGTCTCGAGTGTCATAATGCCTTCGGTGTCCGCCAAGGTCATTAGCATACCAATTTCCACGCTGGCAACTCCGTTACAGAAGTAATTGTGCAGCACGTCGTTGCAGGCTGAGCTGGGAGGAAGATGCCCGCGGGCCGCGGGATCCAAGAGAAGGCTCCCTTGCACGTGGGTGACGCCCAGCAGCGTCTCCCTTTCTTTTCTGCGAGTCTTGCTAGCGGTTTCAGCCAGCTCCTCGGCGGCCAAGAAGTACTGCTTGTCGGAGTACCTCTGGAAGAGCGCAACATCATGGGCGTCGATTGTCTGGAACGGAGACGCCGCCGCCTGCCCTTTGTTCAAGACGTTTAAGCAGAAGAGGCAAGGCTTCAGGCCTGCGGATCCCTTGGTTGACCAGGTAGCCCTCTGGGCTTCCTGATCAGATAAAAACAAGGACACCGGCCGGATCCTGACCCAGGTCGGGCCGGATGGCAGCTCCAGCACCAAGCCGGACTCGTGCGACTTCGCATGCACAGACTTCACGACCGCAGTCATCAAGCGAGTCATGCCGCCAGCGATGCGGTCGATCACGCTGGCCTGAACTGCAGCTACAGTTAACCACGCGTCTTCCTTGCTCAGTGATGCATACAGCTCACGGAATGAGAGGTATATCATGCAGATTTTCTTGACTTTCCTCACAGCCAAGACGTTTCCGCATATGAGCTCGTCGTGATAAAGCACGCAGGACAGCCTCCGGCCCTTGTCCCGCCTGAACACGCGGTCCAAGACGGTCGCCCAAGGCGGAGACCCGCGCGCGGCGTAGCGGAGTAGTTTCGCCAGGACCCCGATGAGAATCGGGACCGGCTTGCCAGACTCTCCCGCCAGCTCGTGCCGCTCATAGCAAGCCAGGGCGTCCGCGGTCAAGTCAGTGCGAGTCGTGAACGCACTCGAGCGCGACGCCGCAGCTCCATCCTCCCTGAGCTCTCCAGCGATATTCCAGATCGCCCGCGCTGTGTTATCCGAGCAGCCAGGCAGTGACAGACAGCGACCGAAATTTTCCTCCTCCTCATGACTGAGGCGTCGCTTGCGGCCGGCCATGGCCTGGGATGGATGGACGAGAGCGCCCATGACAAAAGCCAAACGGCATCGGCGTATATATAACAAGCGCAGCTACAAAAACCCAGGCGTGTATGTGATATATATATATATTCATGTATATATATATATATACTGATGAACACATGGGGAAGGAGAAAGCGACATCCGCGTGCGTGGCACCCCCGGGCACAGTATAAGAAACAAGGAGGCGGGGACAAGCTTATATAATATATGTAGCGGCAGAATGCATTTTTTCCCTCTCGCAAGCGAGCTTCACGGCTGCAGGAAGGCGCCCGCGGCCGGACCCCGCGCGTCGCTATATTGTCGCGCACAAAACTGAGCCGCTCGAGGTTGACAGCGGCGGCGGCCGCAGCCAGCGAGACGCGCCAACTACTCGCCCGGAGCGGCTTCCTTCTCCTGCTGCTTCCCGCGCGTGCGGCGCTTGAAAGGCTTCGCCGGAGCCGCCGCAGGCATCGCAGGCGCCTTCGCAGACGCCTGGTCGCGGCTCGTGTGGCCTTGACTGCCTTGACAAGGGCTCGGCCTTCCTTGAGCAACGCGTTGCAAGACTTGAGATGATCTTTCAAGTCCTGAAGGCTGAAAGGCAAGGCCGCCACCAGGGCCCCGGCCGGCAGAGTGCCCGTGTCCAGCACGTGCAGCAGGTCGGTGCTCGCTTTTGCCCACGCTGCGAACTGGGTCTTACACTCGGACTCCCAGCTTCTGGGCGCTGTCCAGGACAGCCTGTGCGCCAGCGGTTGCCGGGGTCAGCAAGGCCACAGCCTTAGCCGCCCACTGCTTCTGCCTAGCGTTGAAGCGGCCGGCAGCAGCAGCGTCCTTGGCTTCCTGCTTGGCCTTCTTCTCGGCCGATGGGGAGACAGCGTGCCCCTTCTTGGCCGGAGGCCCTGCGCCCGCAGGCTTCGGCTGCGCCTCCGGCACGTCGAGGTCGGGATCGTGGGCGGCGTCTCCAACAGCAGCATCCTCCGGAATGGCTTTGCGCTTGCCGCCGGATTTCCGCTCTCGGAGGGTCTGCTCTTTCTCCATGACCTTCTACCCCAGTTTCCTTCTTTTTTTAGGGTCGAAAGGAAAAACCAGGTTTTTTTCCGCGGTACGGAATAATACGGGTACGGGGAATTACGGGTAAATTACGCGAAAATTACGGGTTAAAAACGTCCGAAACCAGGTATTTTTCGACAAACCCGGGTTTTTTATTTTTACCCTAAGAATAGTAGGTTTTAGGGGTAGTAGGGATGCGCCGCTCCACGACTTCGACGATGTCCCGAAAGACTTCGCGATGCAGAGGCACCTTGATGACGTCGCCGAGGATCGGGCAGGTCCATGTGGGGCATTTGTCCAACTGCTCGTCAGAGTAGCCAAGGCCGAGCCAAACCGCTCTCGACTTGGAGTCCGTGATGGTGGAGTGCTCCTGGGCCCGAATCGTTTTCTTGATGGTCTGGTCGACCAGGACGGCTCTGACCGTGGCCCAGTTGTACCGAGAGCCCTCGCCGTTCTCGCGATTTTTTTTGAAGAAGGCTTTCTTGTCATCGATGGTGAATTCGGCAAGAGCGTCTCCGGCGTTCCGGCTCACCATGCTCTTCAGGGACTGACAGGTCCGGCACTCCCATGAGACACCGGAAGATCTTTCTCTGGTGTCGTCCACGGACGACTTCCCGCACAGGGAGCAGCAAGCCTTCGGGACCGCAGTCTCCGCCATATATAGTGCGGGCGGCTGGGAGGAAGAAAAAAAAGAAAAACCAAGGAGTCTCGAGCCGAGAGAGCCGCGGTCGATATCAAGCGCAGGCAAAAACTACAAAAACATGCGCCGACAAATGCCGACAAATGCCGACATTGGCCGACGTCAGGGGTTCCGGGGCCCTACTACTACAGCACATGACGCCGACATGGGGGGGTGCTATAAATCCAGGGTGCCAAGAAAACCTCGCCGACAAATGCCGACATTGGACAATTTGAGTATATAGTAGGAAACACGACGAGCCTGGAAAAAAAAACGCAAAAGAAACCCTCTCCGCCCCCCCTCCCCCGCCTCCCGCCCGAACCCTTGCGCGCGCTTTTTTTTCTTCTCTCGCTCTCTCTCGCCGCCGATATATATACGTGCCCCGCAGCTTGTGCATGGCGGCTTGCCAGCC